AAAGTGAAGCACTCAAATCTCTCAACTGTTCTTATCTAACACGTACGGCAGAAGCATACTCCAGGACGCACAAGAAGATGAGTTCTACGATAAACTCAATGAACTCATTCAGTTGAGCCGAAAATCCGATATCGTTGTGCTCGCAGATGATTTTAAGGTGCAGGCTAAAAAACTGGGAGTGATAGAAGCTTGCCTAGGCGATTGTTCCGCTCTGCCCTAACAGTGAACAGATAAGGACGATCAACTTCTTCAGTTCTGCCCAAATCACCATTTATCCTCACTGAGTAAGAATTGCCGACACAACTCTTAACGGACAGCAACATGGCGCTTAAATTCAACTGGCACGCTAACTCAGATCGACTACATAGCAGTAAGCTACCGTTGGCGTGGCTCAGTACAAAACTGCAGGTCCTATTGAACCACCTGCGTTGAATCTGATCATGCGTTAGTTTTGATGCAGTTCACTTTCCAACTCACTGGTCGCAGAAGATCCCACCAAACTCAGTTGGCAGATCATCGGTTATCTGACCCAGCCGTTCGTACCCGTTTTGAATCAGAACTAGAGCAAGAGATAAACGCACTGCGCGGTGGTAGTGTAGTTTAGCTATGGGATCCAATTAGACCAGCAATGCCCTCTACGAAAGCGTTGCTTGTGGATCTCAAGCGGTAGCACGTCCGGGGTATGGGATATCCGACGAATCAGTAGCGATGATGGCAAAAAAGCAGCAAATCTCGAACGCCAGGATCAAAGCAGAGGTAGATGGCGCTGCAACGACAGCTCAAGAAGAGCTTCACGAAGGACCTGGAGAAAGGGTAAACAACTATAGCTACCGAAATGGAAGTAGCAGCTGAATCAATGAACAATCAAGACTGTTCTAACTGATACGCAACACGAGAGTGCGGTGACCCAGTTAGCGAAACAATATGCGATGAGTTGGACCAGCCGTTTACAATATGGAACAACGGCTTGACCGGTGGGTGGAGTATTGCAACGAACAGTTCAACTGCCCAGGTGCTGACCTGGCTATCTCGTCTGTTGTGATTCAGATTCCGTAGGTAGTGTCCTGTGAAGCTCCTACTGAAACAGACGTACGATCTTGCATCCAAGCGCATTCGCGAAGTTACACTAACGTCCTTACTGGGACCTCCACGCTGCGACATGTAGTCTTGCTAGTGTTGGCTCAGTGAGAGATAAAGCCGCGCTTCTAGGTTGGTTTCCCGGCGAAATCAGGCTATGCGGAGTGAGACTTAAACAGTCGTCGCTCCGAAAGCTGAAACTTGTTTGTCCTCCCAGCATGCGCACCCACTAACTACCGAACAGAAGCGGTCAAACATACATGCTACCAAAAACTACACGACCCCTTGCGTAAAGAGTATGGGGCTGATATCGTAATTTCAGCTGGAGATATGGATGCTAGAGTTGGCCGGCTGACCTCGAATGCGGTGCAACTGGGAGGTCCGTTCGGACTAGATTCCTGTCGCTCGGAAAAGCGGGAACGGTTGTTGTCTTCATGTTCCGATCACCGATTATTACTAAACAGTACGAACTTTAGACGTTCCAACTGCCGGTAGGCCTTTTGGCGTTCACTGTCCTTGAGTCAGCAACAAACTCAGATCGACCACATCGCTATAAGCCACAAATATTGAGGTTGCATACAAGACTGGCGATCAAACTAGAGCACTCCCTTGATTCCGATCACGCATTAGTTTGCACTAAGCTGTCCCTGCTCTTCGGTGGGTGTTCTAACCGCACGACACAGCGACGGTTAGACTGATAGGTTGTCTCGATCAGCATGCTTAGCCGTCTTTCAGGACGCGCTAGATAAAAGGCTAGAACCAACCCCATCCGATGAAATTAACCAGCACTGTTTGCCTGTCAAGAATGCTTTACATTCTTCCGGCTTAGTTGTGCCGCGACGCCCTGGATTTCCGCGGAGTAACATGTCCGCGAGGATCAGGCTCGGTTTAGCGCCGATCGTGGATGAGTTGATAAAATCTTCTCCTTCCGAGAGCTGCTAAAGCACGGTCATGCCCATCAAAGAACAACGAAGATTGTGTTCCTAGACATTTGGGTGGCCTTCGACTCTTTCAATGGGACCGCACTATGGAACTGTTCGTTGAGGCATGGAGTACATGAGGAGTGTGTGTCGATGCTCAAAAAGTGGTACCATCAAACCTCAAGTCGGGTTAGGGCATATGGTCGGCTTTAGACGGTTTGGCAATTGAAGTACCCAGGTATGGTATGTATTTTTTACCATCAAAGTGCAACGTGCTGGCACGAGAAAGGCAGGAGCCTGTGTCTGCACTCACCCTCTGTGGTGATTAGTTGGAAAAGCCTTAAATACTTCGGGAGTTTGATCACAGCTGGCAGTATTGGAGGAGGGGGGGGGGCAGTGATCACATCACGAATAGCGAAGGCTAGAGCAACTTACCCTGCTACACCTATGGCGTTACCATGACGTCCTACTGTCCTTTAAGAGAAAGGTGTATATCGCCGCGGTTCGTAGTGTTCTGATTTTCGGTTACGAGGCCTGTCCTCTCTGAGCGGAAGGTGCTAATATACTTTCTGTATTCGACTACCCATCTCTCCGAAGCAGTACCCATGTCTTGTGGGAACATCGAGTGAACAATGACGAGGTTTGCCGTCGTGTGTTGGGTGCGGATAATAGTTCATTTAAAGTACTCGCTCTACAACATCTCCGATGGCTCCTTTGGTCTCCCATTTCTTTTTTCTGTACTCGTTCCTACTATTATTGTCGTTGTATTTGCTTGATTCTCATGCTTGTTCTCAAGCCGATGTGAAGTATGTACATACAACCCAAGCAATCATGTGGCTGGGCCGTAGTCAACAATAGAGTTAGTCATAAAATCAGGCACAAGCATTCTCTTCGACGCGCTGACCCGAGATCACAAATATCGAACCACTGCGTACGATCAGGTCACAAAATTGTAACTGATAAATCGAAGGTAGTGACACGAGCTAAGAAGAAGGGGAGCGATTAATTCTCCAAGCTCTCTACTCAGACAATTCGCTCAACCGACAATTCGAGACAGACAAACATTACGTTTCTTTCCTTTCCAAACAAACTAAACAAATCCATTTTGGAACAAAGTTAGTACCTTCATTGCAAAATTGATCGTGAGCGCAACTTGGTCGCGTTCTAGAGATACAGTTCTTGACTATGACATTTGCGTTAGTCAATCCAGAGGCACAAGTACCGTGGCACATCAGTGAGCCAAACACAAAGCATCATCTACTGAGCTCTGGCCACGTTCCCGGAGAATGTTTTGAACTCAAAATCATTTAAATATTTTTTAGGTTGTTCATTAATATGCTTGAATGATACAATGTATCATAAAGGAGATACGAATAACATGGACATTTTACAGCACATTTCATCGACAGTGGCTTTTCAGCACTACTTGATGTAGATGAAGTCGAGAATTATCATTCACAAGTCAGTGCCGGGAAGACGAGAGTTAGTTATTACGAACAACGGTAGAAGTATCGAAAAACGGTTTACATACTACAAAATGTCTCATTCGGAACAGGTAGATATGCATTTTCTGTGGTTACGATTTTACACACAGTAAATCGCCTGATGTGAGAAACCACCAATGGAATTCTTTCGCGCACACTAACTGTACTACGCACACGTGTGGGTAATATCTCACAACACTTCTACTCCGATGAAATGAACTCTGCATACATCGGGCAATGATGCCTTTCTTCTGAAATCGCCACCCACTGAAAATGTCGCTTGGTTTATTGCACTATTTTTGAAGATCAGACTAGGAGTTTGATTTGCAACGAAGCTGTGATGTACGGCTATGATCTTCGTGCCATTTGTCGCATTTACTTTGGATGCAAACAGCTGTTGTCTCTTATCTCCAATTTGCTGCGACTCGTTCTCGGCAGCTGCTCTCAACATTCCAATCTTCATTCTACTGCTTTATCCACACGGGCAGTCAAAAGACAGTAACCAAAAACCGGAGCATAAGAATTCACGGTTAGTGGTTGTAAAAACTGAACTGAACGGTTGTATACCAGGCCTCTAATGACACAGTTGTCTGGGGTTTCGAGAATGAAATTGCAGCACATGTTTCAGCCTGAGCCTCAATCTGAAATTGTGTTTGGACTGAACTACGATCGACTGCGTCGGAAAAGTCCTTGTCCGGGTAGAGCGATTTGAATGAAATCAGCAGTTTTCCTACACACACTTAGTGCTGTGTTTCCGGGCAATTGTGCTGCTAGCACACCGGCTTTTCACATTCAAAATTTCCCTTTTTGACGGCTACAATGAGCTTATTCTGCTCGGGTGGCCGCAAACTCCTCCGTCAGAATCTTGGGTGTCGCCATAACTCCTGCGTCTTGGCGCTTGGGTCCTTCGTTTGACTAGGAAATCGTAACTTTCTTCCCGGTGTACTTCCACACGACATCAGCCAGTCTGAATACACTCATAGTCTTCTAGGCATTAATGATCTGTGACGTCTCCCCCAGGTCCTCCGACAGGCTCGCCGTGAACTGATCCAGGAATTCAGAACGCGCAAAGTCGGAAGCGCCCGATCAAACAGGTCGCGCACGGCAACGGTGTGCGACAGGCGTCCAAGTAAATTGCGAATTGTCGTCTAGAAGCCACGCAATGCTTCTTGGGGGTCAGACGGAGTGTCGAAACCCGAGATCAGGTCTGCCTTTGCGGCGGCCGCTCCATCTTCCCACATTCAACACCACGCGCGCAAGATCATTGAGAAGCGCTCGGAAGGCTGCCAACTTACCCATTCCACAAACCCCTCAAATTGCTCCGGGAAAGTCCGCACGTCGTTATCCTCGAAAGCTGCAGGCCAAGGCACTTTCATCCTGAGGACGGGACTGTTATATATCTGTTATATATCCCCAAGATAGTGCCGGGAAATTTGTTTCTTATGAACAACGCCAAGGGTATCGACGAACCGACATGCATACAACAAAACTTCTCATTTGTAACAGGTCATCATAATTCTCACAAGCTGTCAGGATACTTGATGGAATAATCCGATGGTGGATGCGCATTTTCTGTGGTTACAATTTTCACATTATTTCGCTCTAGGAGGTTTTGGTCATTTTTGACCGTTGTGAGAAGTCGCAAATCGTATTCTTTTGCGCACTTCCAACATACTGCTCGCAAGTGCGAGTAGCATACCACAACACTAGGATCTACTACCCTGATGTGAGAACCGACAGTAGAAGCCCTGTACACATAAACCACAAACATACAGATATACCTAGGTAGCCGGTATACCTATACAACAATGAGGTTAGCAAAAATCACAACTGGGACCCAGTTCACACATGGGAGAAAATAAGTTAAATACTTACGTGCCGAGGGTTCGGAGCGCTTTCGTTCTCCTTAGCGAAATCTGACCAAATTTTCCAATTGTCCGAACGCAATACATGATTGACCAATAGGTCAATATAGGCCAGTTCAGCATAATGTTTCGTTCGAATCCAGTCCAGTGGTACAGAGGTTTGCAAGAGTGGGACATTTGAATCCGATGATGTCATTTTATTGTGCACTGTTCGGTTGAAATGAGATAAAATCTCCTGTGACCGTGTGTTCAGACTTGTGAGAAGCACTTGATTGGCAGAGTTTAAAAGAGCCTGGGCAGTGTAGAGACTTTCTTGTAACTGTTTGTAACTTTTCAATAATATTGGTTTGTAGAGTGGCGTGGGTGAGATAACTGGAGTGGCCGATTCGTCGTAATTACGCCATTGAAGATTTGCTTTCATCAGCTGTGAAGGGAAATGAGGAAGGATGGCAATAATTCCAGAGGCTTCACATCAAAATCAATTAAACTGATAAGCGAGCGATAGTTTTACTGATCATAACATGGGGTTTTTTCATCAAGTCACGGAATAATTGCATTACCTTAGGGCTGTTTTGAAGAATTGAATCCATCACAAATTTGAATAGAAACGCGGAGATAATGCAACTGTGTAGAACACCACCTTTTGTAGTGACCTCGGATGAAAAAATACCGTAAGGTCGAATTCAGCTTGGGCTGTTCGTATAAAGGGATCGCAAAATTGAGATGTACTTCTCGGACACTTTTCAGAGAGATACAGCGCCAGAGTTTACCGCGGAAGATGGAAATGGTGGGTCTACAAAAGGAGTGATTGTGTTTTGGAATTTGACCAAGANAAGAGTGGTCGGTAGAACCTAGACCAAGATTAAAACCGGATTGGAACTCACGTATACACTCTTCACGTGCGGTAGACAGTCGACGAAGTATGACGCAGCCGAGAAATTTAGAGGCAATGTTGACTGAACCAATCCCTCTGCCGCTTTCACAAGAGGACCTGTCGCCTTCCTCGTACATTGGTATGATCACCAATTTACACTATTCCGTTGGAACCTCTTCGCTCTCCCACATTGAGCCCAGGAGTTTCGTTAACTCCAAAACCAAGGATGAAACTCCATCCTTAAAAACCCATGGGGGTAGCCCATTTGGGAAAGAGGCGTCATACCTTTTGAGGTAACTGACTTCCCGGGAAATCTCCATTTCAGATGGAGGACTGATATCTATTGGCAGTAATTGTCCAGCTGAACCAGGTATTGAAGGGTGTTTTATCAATGGGGGTAAGCTGAACTGTGCCTTTAAATGTTCTGCCGATTGTTCATGATGGTGTGGCTGTTGATGAATCAGTGTGCCGTCTGACTCCTCAGTTACCTGACTTACGCCTACTTTCCTAGGGTCTGAACTCTTAATTATTCGGAAAAGATTGCGACTATTACCAATAGCCGCAGCCCTCTCGATCTCTCTGCACTTTCCTACCCACCACTTCTCGCGGTCATTCCTCAGACTCTTGATGAACTGGCGTTTAAGGGATCTGCGCACTTAGTCGTATTTTGAGTTCGAAGGAATGGCTTTGCGAGCGTCCAGCAGGGCAACGGAGTTTTTTTAATTGATCGTTTTGCAGAAGCTGACCGTTATTCTGATTGAGATTTGGATCGCTTCCTTGATTGTCGTTCAGTGTTCACTGAGTCCTCCAATTGATAGTTGAGCTGAGAGGCGATCTGATAGTTCCCAATCGAAGGCCCATTTGCATCCGTTGGTGACACTATTGAGGGTATCCGTTTTCGGTTGTTGCTTACTAGGAGTAGGGAGCATCTCACTCGTTGCAGAACATGGTCCATGTCCACGTGTGTTGACCAGTAGGAGCGGCAGTCCTCAGTAGATCCACGCCAGCGGTGGCGGATGGTGATGTGATGGATTCGAGGCCAGTGCTGTGAAGCGGTTGTTGATCTCCATGTAAGGCGGTCGTCGTTTGTTATGCGAGAACTTGGTGATTGACAAAAAAAATCCACGGTCAGCGCAAAGCGGTAGCATTCATTTTTCGTTATCAGTCCGGTTAGCTGGGACTGCATGTGAACCACCAAGTAACCTTTCTGCTTCGTCCAGGCGTCCCACTTGAGCATTGGAATCCACAGCGACCGCCGCGATGTCCGTTGACCGAGCAGTTGAGAGGTTCTTGTANACTTCATAATTCATTTCTGGCGAACTCCAATCAGTCGGTGCATACGGGGATACGACGAATAAGCATTGACGCTTCGTTTTGTAGTTGTTGACCCGTAATGAACCATCCAGACGTGTAGCACAAAGTCGGCTGCTAACCGCGATCCGGTCGAGCAGTCAACCACACCCATACCTTTTCGGTTGGGGCAGTGGTCACCGGCTTAATTAGGCATTGAGGTGTTTTGAGCACCTTGGACGTCTGATCCCGCCCGAAGGGTTTATGATCCGATGAACTGGACACCGGCTCCCAATGGACTGCGGTTCTCACACACCGCCCCGCTACCTTGCGAGTCAGGCTTTAGCTAGCCGAAGGCTCCGGTTGTGGATTCCTCAAGCAAACTAACCTGCCTTGGTCTGGGTAATTTGACAGTATTCAGCCCACAAGCCAATCATGGAACGTTTTTCATTTTTCATAAGGATCATTGTACCATGATTTTCTTGGCACACAGTCTGTCTTTAGACAAGTGTGAAATATAATATAATATAATACGAGCAGTGAACGGTCGACAATGACACTGGGCGTTATCCCAACACCAGCAACACCTCGAGCTTCGGATGCCAAACCGCCTGACAAACGGTGAGTGAGGCGTGAGGATAAGGTTGGATTTGGAGAACGCAGGGAGATGACTGAAATAGGGTCTTGTATGCGTTTCGGAGACAACATACATCTAAATGGAAGATTTCAATGGTTTTAGCTAAGACAGCTTGTTGACCGATCTGGGAAAGTGTACGGACATTAAATGCGGCCAAGTGAAGAAGGAGATTTGGGTTTCGAAAATCTGATAGCCAGTGAGTGGTTGATCTCATTCGTTGATCGCTGATATCCCATGGGTGGCACAAATAAGATGCATCTCCTAATGGTTATTAAGGTTGAGATCCCCGGAGCCCTCATTTTAACTTCAAAGTATATGCTCTAAATTGAAGATGTGGGAATATGATATACTAGATCAGTTGCAATGGTCTTTATGAAATTATAGACCCAATTATTGGACAACTAACATAACCAATGACTGTAAAACCACTTTAGGAATCGCAACACAAGAATGACCACCTGCGATTTTGTCAGTTTCTCAAGAAAATGTGTACACAAAGACACAAAATCGTTGCACGGCGAAAAACAGATTCCACAAGGCAGTGGGTAAAAGCCATGTTTTACGGATTTATTCACAACAAAGCGACCACAAACGGTCAGTTACCTCACGAAGTGTGTTGATTGCCGTTGTGGCTTGTCGAACATAAACCAGAAGAACCTGATGAACACGTTCTACACTGGACAGATGACTTGCTACAGCATCCGTCCAATTCGGTCGGGTATCCAGTCGTAGCAACCACGGCTGATCGATATAGACTGCGTTAAAATGGCGAATTTCCTCCTGTACCGAGGCGTTTAAACTGGTGAGTAGCCGAGCAACTGAGTCCTGTACCCGATCAATCTACATGAACGAAAAGAGGGAAATCGCAGGAATTAGAAACAAATGGCCCATACCGAATTCCGAAATTCAATCGTGGTTAAACCACAGGCAGAAAATAAGCTGATTCGAAATTCTGTTAGCAAGTCTAAATGGACAATGTTAAAGTTGGTTTGTTAAGCCAGACGTGAACAATATGCAGTGAAACCTGGGATGAGAAAAACAAAAAAATATAATGATTAACAACATGGACAATGCCAAAGTTGAAAAGGCAGGAATAACAAATAACCAATAAGTCTCCCGAAGGAGCCTATTCAGTGTGTATGATCACGGTGCACAGTACTAAACGGTATCCAATGTCGATGCGCATCTTTACAGTCCCTTAGATCAATTTCACATCTAACCCACTGCATGCATAACACAATACTCTAAGTTGTGGCAGATTGATTATCATGTTCGAGAGCCAAACGATTAAAACAAAATAAACGTAAAAATATATGAGGATTTCGACTCAAAGGGACAAATCACGCACAAATCTATCTAACCACCAGGAGAAGTGCTCACAAAGGCAAGAGTCAAACTAAAGATATCCAGACACAGTAACATATGATCAGCGAAGAAAACTTTATTTGAAGAAAACTTTGGAACTATCTTGAAGAACCACATTTCCTAACCAGGTGTTATGGCTTGCAGTCGATTGAAACGTGTACCGCGCACGATGTGACGGACGGATAGGCCGGTGCGGCCTGCCACCACAAACACGCATGCCTGTCTTTCAGACATATACCTTTACAGCTTCTGTCCGCTTTAACGAATCAGATTTATGTATTGATCCGTATGGATAGGTTCGTTGACTGTTCAGCTTGATGGCTCCCGTTTTGGTCAGCCGTTGGTCTACCTCGCTCCCATCCTCCATATTCATCGGCCCAAAAGATCTGGCTACGCAAACATTTGCATATTGAAAATAGAAAAACTGTTTGATTCGCTGCGTACTTATTTATTTGCTTAAACTGGACACAACACCCCCTCTCCCTTACAAGGCACACAGTTTCGCTAATAGACTTTCATCACCAAGCGCTCGTTCCCGTGAGCAGTACCGATAACACGGTGTGCCTGGTCCAGATTGAAGGAATTAAATGATGAGTGTTTGGTTTTAGTTTGCCTGTAGCCTGACATTCCATAGTGTGAGTCGCGAATTCGGAGTTCGATCTACACGCCGCGACTCGCTCATTACACCTCTTGTTTGGACGAAGAAGAGGAGAAATTGCAATGTTGGGATCAATATCAAAATGAATATAAAGAATTAGCGAGCACCAAGACTGAAAAAGATATGCAGATGCACGAGTGTCACTGTTTACAGCACTTAACCATCTCAATCAATGTCTTTAAACAGCGGCTGCACTGATAATGGGATTCCAAGTAAGAACAGTAATGCCACTTTATTGTCCAAATACCGTTATAAGTTTCATACCCTCAAGCCAGGTTTTAGTCCGGTCACGTTTGGCCAACCTCCGACCAGTATCTGGCCCACGTCAGGGGGCCCAATGAACTAAATTTATGAAGACCAAACCACTCGTAGTAGTGCACGATTGTAATGGTATAAAACTCGACACCCCCTTCGGTTTCCGACTACACACATGCAATCCGACGTAGATGGCGGTGTTCGACAAACAGTATCTTTCGTTAAGCTGTTCCAGTAAGGAAGTCAATGCACCCTACAGCGTCGCCGGTCACAAAACAGCCGTATGAACTCGAGTCTATGCAAAAAAAC